GACAAACGGCCTGGGGACGAGCACATAAACAAGCAGGTAGGACGGCGAGAAAGCGTCCTGTTTGCGTAGGGAGAACGCGCCCAACCGCGGCTAGATACATCTATCCATGATTTGATTCCTCGAGCACTCACGGAGTCTAACTGCTTTGCCCCATCGATCCGAATATCGGCCGACTACATATCTTGGCCCGCAGCCACTATAACCCTCATGTCGATCATGACCATTGCAGCGATACACACATACCTACATAGACTGATACCCAGCTAGCCATGGCTTCGGCTATCGATCAAAGCGATGGGGTTCCCTACAAGGTGCTGACGGCCTAACTACCCACCTCCCTAACCCTGCCTGGCTGAACCGATCTATCTAACCACCCGTTCAGTCGCCATTTCACCTTCGAGAGATTGTTTTGAGACATGCGTGCAGCTACTCGCGTTCGGTTCGGAGGGGAGAGAGCACCCCTCCCCAAAACAAACAAACCTGCCCACATAGAGTATGTTTGAGAAAACCGCCGCCTTGCCTGCCCTGCCTGCTGTGGAACCCACTGCGGTGAGACACGGAGGCCAATTGCCAATTCCTGTGAAAGGATAGGCCCGATAGAACATGCGGCGTGCTGCTTTGCTTCGGCATCGTGCGCTAGGCCTGCTGATGGACAGTTGTCGATAGTTTCAATTTGTAGCGGCGGCAAGGAAGTAATTGGTCGGTGCACGGGTGGGCGAATGTGCTTGCCGGTTGGTGAAGTTTCTTTTCTGTATGTACAGCGTCCACCTGCAGCTTGCTATCACGCATCTGGACGGACTTGTCTTTAAGGGCGAATGCCCACACCCCCCCCCCCCCCAGGTTGAAATAGGATGGCCCATCCCTCTGCCTCCTCCCCTCTCCCCTTCCTAACTCCCATCTATCCCTCCTTCTCCTCCTCCTCCTCCCCCCATTTCCTGTTTTCCAACCACCAGCCACAATGGCCGAGAACGGATCCGGATCGAATGGAAAGACTGCAGTGTCCACTTGGGCTTCTGAACCGACGTCGGCACCTCTGGCCCCCGTCAGCACCCCCGTTGCGAAGCGACCCATAAAAACCGGACGCAACGATGTTGAAGATACGTTCAGGAAGTTTGCATCGCTGATCCACGCGTCGAACCGGCCGCTACCGAACCGGTACGGCAGTGGCCAAGATGGACCCTCAGAGGAAGAGATGACGGGCATCCGCCATGATATTGCGGTGCTGAAGAAGGGCGGCTTCTTGAAGGAGTCGGTGCAGACCCTGTTGATGTTTGCGAATGGCAAGAGGAAGGGCTTGCCTGTTGATGACAAGACCATGATCGTGAGTTGCTGTGTTCTGTGTCTAGGCAGGAATTGCAGGGCTAATTGGTGCCCAGATGGAAAAAATGATCCAATTGACCTCCCGGCTACCTCCTACCAGTAAACTGAGAGTCAAGCTCACCACTGCCCAAGTCGACACCCTGTGGGATTCGCTTCAGCACCCGCCGCTGTCCTACTGCGGACCGAAATTCACGTACCGCCAGGCCGATGGCAGCCACAACAACATTATGGAGCCGACGCTGGGCCAGGCGGGCTCGCCGTACGCCCGCTCTGTCAAGCCGATGACAAAGATGCCTGGTGCACCCCCAGACGCATACACGGTGTTCGATGCCATCTTCAGCAGAGGAAAGGATGGTGAGAATTACCGGCCCAGCAATAACAACATCAGCAGTATGTTGTTTTACATTGCTAGTATCATTATCCACGGTTAGTTTGTTTTCCTTTTTTTCTTTCTTTTTGTTCGGGCCTGAGAGTGATGTAGACCTCTTCCGGACGAATCGCGCCGACCCAACCATCTCTGATACCTCCTCGTACCTCGACCTGTCCCCGCTCTACGGTATCAATCAGGAACAGCAGAACTCGGTGCGGGCGTTTAAGGACGGAAAGCTCAAGAACGATGTCTTCGCCGAGAAGCGTCTGTTGGCGTTCCCGCCGGGTGTGTCTGTGCTGCTGCTCATGTTTGCGCGTTTCCACAACCATGTTGCGACTCAGTAAGTAGTCCGTCCGCAGTTAGTGAGTTATAGGAGCAACGAGAATTGGGAGAGTATATAGCTCGTCCCTTAAAACTTCATCCCGGGATTCCCCAATTCCCGCTGCTCCGGCAACCACTTGTAATCACTCGAGATTTCAGATTTTTAACAGCGTTGCAGATTGAAGGAAATCAATGAAGGCGGACGCTTCGACCTCAAGTTCGATCGCCGCTGGCACAACGATGACCAGGAGACCAAGAATGCAAAGGCCCTGAAGCAGCAGGAGGAGGATCTATTCCAGACTGCCCGGCTCGTCACTTGTGGACTCTACATCAACTTTGTCCTCAACGACTACCTGCGCACGATCGTCAACCTGAACCGCGTCGATACCACATGGACGCTGGACCCTCGCTTCGATCCGTCGAAGATGTACAACCCCGATGGTACCCCAGCTGGTGTTGGAAACATGGTGTCGGTCGAGTTCAACCTGGTCTATCGCTGGCACTCGTGTATCTCGAAACGGGACGACGAGTGGACGCAGGAGTTCTACAAAAGCCTGTTCCCTGGCAAGGACACCGATAAGTTGACTCTTCAGGAGTTCATGGTCGGCGTACACATCTGGGAGAACTCAATCCCCGCCGATCCTGCTGAGCGTACTATTGAGAACTTCGTGCGCCAGCCCGACGGACACTTCAAGGACGACGACCTTGTCAAGGTCCTGATGGAGAGTATCGAGGATCCTGCTGGTGCCTTCGGCGCCCGCAACGTCCCCCACGTCCTGCGTCTGGTCGAGGTTCTCGGTATCGAGCAGACGCGTAAGTGGAAGGTCGCCTCGCTGAACGAGTTCCGTGAGTTCTTCGGTCTGGCCAAGCACAAGACCTTCGAGAGCATCAATCCGGATCCCGTTGTTGCCAACACTCTGCGCCAGCTCTACGACCACCCTGACTTCGTCGAGCTTTACCCGGGTATCGTGGCCGAGGACGACAAGGAGCCCATGGTTCCTGGTGTCGGAATCGGTCCCACCTACACCGTCTCCCGTGCGATTCTCTCGGACGCTGTCACTCTCGTGCGTTCCGACCGCTTCTACACGGTTGACTACACCGCAGGTGCACTCACGAACTGGGGTATCGAGGAGGCATCTTCGAACCCGAACGTCATGTACGGCTGTGTAGGGTACAAGCTGATCCTGAAGGCATTCCCCAACCACTTCAAGTACAACAGCATCTACGCTTGCCACCCGTTGACGATCCCGCTCGAGAACCGCAAGATCTTCACTGCATTGGGACTGGTCCATGAGTACGACTTTGAGAGGCCAAAGTTCATCCGCCCTCGCATTCCGGTCACTTCTTACGCCTTGACCAAGCAGATCTTGAACGATGATACCAACTTCAAGGTCACCTGGGGCGCCGGCTTCGACTACATCATGGAGGCGCCTTTCATGCTTTCCGGCGACGGTGCGCCCTTCGCCACTATGCGCAAGTTCGTCGGCGACCGTATTTATCTTGCGGGTGTCAACTGGCGGTCGCAGATCCGCGCTTTCTACAAAGAGCTGACCGTCAAGCTGATCCGGAAGAAGGCCTACAGCATCACTGGAGCCGGCTGTTACCAGGTGGATGCAGTCCGCGACATCGGTAACATGGCGCAGACGATCTTTGCGGCGTCCATCTTCAACCTTCCATTGAAGACCGAAGACCACCCTAAAGGTATCTACACTGAGCAGGAGCTGTACATGGTTCTCTGTGCCATGTTCATCGCCATATTCTTCGACATGGACTCCTCCAAGTCCTTCCCCCTGCGCCACGCCGCCTACGCCGCCACCCGCCAGTTTGGCGCTGTGGTCGAGGCCCAGGTCAAGGCTGTGAAGAGCTGGGGCTGGCTCCAGGGCGTCTGGGACCCTCTCAACATCCGCGGCCGCAACAAGTCCCCACTGCACGATTATGGCTACCACATGATCAGCCGGCTGCTGGAGTCGGGCGAGTCCCCCGCCTCCGTTACCTGGAAGTACATCGTCCCGACCGCCGGCGCCTCGGCCCCGAACCAGGCCCAGCTTTTCGCCCAGGTCCTCGACTTCTACCTCCAGGATGAGAACGCGCACCACCTCGCCGAGATCCAGCGACTTGCAGCCCTTGACACCGACGAGTCCTGGGAGACTATCAAGAAGTATGCGCTTGAGGGCGGCCGCCTCGCAGGCACCTTCGGCCTGTATAGACGCTTCGACGGCGCGTCCATGACCGTCCACGATGGCGCCCACCCCATCGAGCTAGTCAAAGACGACCTCGTCTTCGTTTCCTTCGTTTCCGCCTCCCGCGACCCCATCGTCTTCCCCGACCCTCTCGAGATCAGACTCGACCGCCCTGAAGAATTCTATATGCAGTACGGCGACGGACCGCACGAGTGTCTGGGCAAAGCCGCCAATATCATTGGGCTTACGACGATGCTGATGGAGTTTGGAAAGCTCCCTGGACTGAGACGCGCCCCTGGCCCCGCTGGAATGATGAAGACCATTCCGAAGCCGGGTGGGTTTAAGATTTATATGAAGGAGGATTGGAGCAGCTTTTGGCCGTTCCCGACGTGCATGAAGGTGAGGTTCGATGACATTATTTAGGCTTTTCTTTTTTGGATTCTTTTCATGCCGGTTTTGAGTTTTTTTTTTTTTTTTTTTTGTTGGTTCAGTAAGGGTGTTTTGCTTTCTGTATTTTTGATAAGCCGTCAGTAATTGCGATTGGGTTATGAGCATGGTATGTACGGTATTTAGTCTAATGACGTCGACGTTGACAAGTACCACACGATCGTCTTTGCTATGCTACCTATTGAAGCGCGGTTGGTTGGGATTCCCCGGCTCTCCGCGCTCTTTTGATGAGTCTATCGATGGAAGGATCAGCACAGAGTCCAACGGACTAGACCAAGTGATCATGATACACTTATTATATAGCTTGGTGATTTCCAAACTCTTTAACAACTGGATTGGGGGGGGACGTGGACATATACGTCGTCTGTTTGGCTCAGTTGGTAGAGCGTCGGTTTTATATGGAGAAACAGAAACAAGAAACAGATAACTACATGACTTCCGCATACCGGCAGACATCCAAAGGTTCGAGCCTCACACCGGACAGCTTTTGCTGCTGCTGCTTCTTTTCGCGGCCTGTGGGGGGGGGGGGGAGGCGGAGAAGGCGGAGAAGGCGGCGCCTGGCCATGGAATGATCCCATGGGGAGGCAGTGACACTCTTTTCCCGACCAAAATCTCCTTGGCCTACATCACCCCGCTTGGGTTGGATAACGGCTCGAGGCGTCCCCCATCCGACACCGTGACCCTGCGCTGAGACTGGCAATATCGTCGTCATCGTGGGGTCCTTCCTTCTAACTGAACTTTCCGGGAAGAGAAGGGGGGTCCCTCTGGAAAGAGACCTTGACTTGACGGATCAAGGAGTGAGATCCCGATTGGCGCGTGAGATTTTGAGATTTACCGCCGTAGCTCTTCCTCATTGACGACTAGCTCCTGTAACACGCACTCAGTGGTGATCACCGTCATTGCCATCCATTCCCTGTGATATCGCAAGAGGTGTCGGGTGGGTGAGTGGTGCAGGCGGCTATTAAGCCGCAGCCCGGTCGAAATTTCCCTGACTTCAACAGCGTGCGGACGGCGCAGAAAGCGGTCGGGGTGGTGGTAGAAGCGTGCGAAGTGGTGGGGACCCTGAGCAACAAGAAACCCGAGGTGGTGGGGAACCCTGAATGATTATATTTCCACAATACAATTGCCCCCCCCCCCCGCGGCCGCGGCTGCCTCAGCCAAGGTCCGCCTCAAGCTGCCTCAGTGAGAATCGCCGATGGCTCTTGTACACCCGTTCCTTATGCTGCTTGTCGCCAAACGTGGCCCCGTCCCGGTAGGCTTGGATGATGCGTCGGGTGCGTCTCCAATGCTTAAAAATGAGCGATGGTTTAACGGATTCCAACGCTTCTGGAAGAACCTGGCGGAGTCCTGAGAGATGTTAGTGTGAATTTTAAGCGCACGATGCGGGAGGGTGGAATACCGGTGAGAGTATATGTGCAGTGCTTGCAGGCATAGAGCTTGCAAGCGTCCCAGTAATATTCTATCCGGTTCATTTCACAATGATATTTTGGATAGAACATATAATGAGATGCCCCGCATCCTCCATCGCTTCTTCGATCCGGCTCCGCTGTCCCTTGAAATTCGGCTGTGTAGATAGGATAGCCTCGCACAGCAGTTCCTGCCCTCCACTCTCTCAGCACATTCGGGGTTCTTAACCCGCTTCGGTTTTTGACTGTGGTTTGGATTTGGGATACTGCACTGTAGAAGCAAGTCTTGTGGTTTGCGGTCAGTACAGGCGTGCAGGCGGACAGTGCAGGCTCACCGTCTATCCACAAGCCACGCTCCCGCAAGACTCGTTCCATTCCCTTAGCCACCAGACCAGTCTCGGCCAGCTGTGCACAGATAAAACCCTTTACTTGGACGTGCCAGGTATGATCGTGGCCAGTCAGGCGCTTTCGATTTGAGGCGAGTAGCTTTTCATATCTACAAGGCCTGAAGAGATGTTAGCCGGATGTTTTTTTTTTATTACAGGAGGGCGCGCGGCCTGGGCATTTCAGATTGGAGCCATACCCTCTTTAAGAACATACCCTCTTTAAGAATTTGGATTCTCTTTGGACCAGATACTCGAGGCCAGTTCTGTTCCTGAGCTCGACGGGCTTCCGGTTCGTAGATTCCGCTTTCAGCAGTTTGTTGGGAGTTTGGCTGTGACTCCGATGGCGGGAGCGAGTCGATGTAGCGCTGTAGGTCTTCCGCTTCGGCGACATCTCCACTTTCTTCATCTTCAACCTCATCCTGGCCGATTTCTTCTCATTGCTGTTGGTGGTCGCGGCTGTATGTATTTGCAAGAGCTTGGGGTCGGGGACCGGGGGGGCTGTAGTTGCAAGAGTTTGGAGTCGGGACAGCAAACAAGTGTCATGACGAAAGCGCTCCAGCCCGAGCTCCCTGTTCAGATGGCGGATGGCACCTGGCCAAAGCGGCTAGCACCTGGCCACAGCACAGCCGTGATCGTTTTGGGTGGTCCAAGCTTTTTCAAGTCCATCGCCTCACTCTGTTTTAATGGGCTCGCGAGATTGCGCGACCGGTGGAAACTCGCGTCTTATTTCTATAGAAGCGCATCTTGTTTGGTCAGAGTTCTCACTCGCTCACCACTCCATTATTGATTACCGTCAACATCTTCACCAACGGAGCCCGCCGAACTGCGGGTAGCACTACCATATTATCCCGGCGCCGAAGTATATTGCAAGAACGTAGTGCATCCAGCCAGTCACGACCGTTCAATCCATGCCAGCCACATCTTCACGAACGTAGCACGTCCAGCCAACCACAACATCCAAACCGTATTTCAAGAACGTAGTGCATGCAGCCAATCAAGCCATAAAGTACTTAGTACTTGTCGGTGACTGACACGTGCCGTTCAGCGGGCAGTGAAGCTGGACGCGACGTGCTTGGAGTAAAACCTTAAACAGAGCGGGGAGATGGAGCCCCTGAGCGCTCGCTCTTCCCCCAGCCTCCCCAGTTGGTGGGTATCAGACAGAGGACACGGTGCAACATGAGATCCGAAGAGCGTGCAACGTGTGCTGGACCGGGGTTGGATAAGGAAAAAAAAAAATCAAAATCAGTTCTTCGTTTCCGATTGTTGTGATGCTTCACAAATGGACGTCGCGCCGTCTCCACCTTGTCCCCAGAATTGACTTTTCACGTCGCGTCTTCCCCACTCCAGCTCGCGTCGAAAACACTTCCCATCCAGCAGCTTCACTGCCCGCTGAACCGTATACTTCGGCGCCGGTGAGATTGGCTTATTACGGGATAATAATAATAGACTATTCCACGCTCTCCCTGTGTAGTTACGCACCAGATGCGAATTCACCTGCAAAGTAGTGTTCTCATGGTGATGAGGCCTTTACGATAATGCAATGATATGTACGGCATTGTGTCCGAGTGGTTAAGGAGAGAGATTAGAAATCTCTTGGGTTCGCCCGCACAGGTTCGAATCCTGTCGATGTCGTGTCGTTCCTTCTACTTTTTGTTTTAGTACTGCTCTAGCTACCGCTGGCCGAGGCAATGTATGAGATTTAGCCCCCCCCTTTACCCTCGTGTGTATGTATGTGACTGCATAGCCACACGCTCGCTCTTTTACAGCACGGACGTGGAGAAATGGAGTGAGTGATATTTGCACCGCTCAGAGATACAATTTTCAAGGCAGTGCTCAGCTGGTCTGTAAAGTGAGCTTTCGAATATCCATAACTTCAGGCGAAAGCTCTGGGCCTGGAAGGGAAAAAAGGGCTGATAGTACAGGAGGAGCTCATGGCGTCACGGTTACGCGATTACCTGTGGCCTGATGAGCTACATAGGGAGGGCGAGCATAAAATCCCGCCGCGCCTCTCCTCCTGGCTAAGGAGCATCTACAATTCTAACCTGATATCATACCTAGTCTTGTAACAAACGAAATAAAAATCCGTCCCACCCGATCGCGCTTGGTTGACAAGAATTCCCTCCTAACTCTAATAAAGTCGAAGAAAAAGGAAACAAAAATAAACGTGGAAAAAAAGAAAAGAAAAAAAAGAAAAGAAAACAAAGAAAAAAGAAAAAAGAAAAAAAGAAAAAAAACCCCGAACATCTTCTATCGGAAGTTGAATTCTCTCCCCTTTTTTGTTCGCCAGTGGATATTGGGAGCCTTTACGCCTTCTCAATGAAAGCCTTGTAATTCTCCTCCTCCAGCAAGCCCTCAGCCTCCAACACCTCGGGACCCGCAATCTTGACCTTTGCGACCCAGCCGTTCTCCTCAGGCGAGGCATTGATCAGGCTCGGCTTCTCGTTCAGCGCCTCGTTGACCTCGACGACCTCGCCGTTAACAGGCGAGAGGATATCGCTCGCACTCTTGACGCTCTCGACAGCGCCGAAGGTCTCGCCGGCCACGGCCTCGGCGGCAACAGACGGGAGCTCAACGTAGACGACGTCGCCAAGCGACGCGGCGGCGTAGGCTGTAATACCGATCGTAGCTGGGTTTGCGGCGTTAGTGAGACGGAACACAAGGGTAGGTAGGGTGGAGATGGAGGTGGAGCCGGGGAGTCGTCGGAGTCTTACCGGTGTTGGAGCCGTCCGCCGTGTCCAGCGAGATCCACTCGTGGGCCTTCGTATACTTCTTGATCACCTCTATCCCTCGTTAGCCCCCGCAGCGGCAGCGGTGCCCCAAGACGCCGGCGAATTGGCCAAACAAACCATTGACTCGTGTGGAAGCAGCGAAGCCACGTGCAATGAATCGGGGGGCAACACGGGGAGCGGCGGCGAAGCGGCTTGCGCGGAGGACAGTGCGGGCGAACATGATTGCGTTGGGGGTGGTAGTTTGAGGGTGGGGGAATGAGTGTATTGAATTGAGGCCCTGGAATCCGGATTGAAGGAGGAGGATGATATCCTGTTTGGGTTTGGCCGCTTTCTTTTACCGGCAGAAAGATTTCTGGGGCTAGGGTTCGAATTCCTCGGCTGTTCGCGGGCCACGCAGCTGAAACAACAAAAAAAGAAACAACGGGTAACACCACACAGATCCTTTCCCCGCCCTGCAGCGTCGCGTTTCTTATCCGCCGCGTGCCAACAGTTACCGCTACGACAAAGATGCTCTACGAACTGATCGCCTGCGTACCTTCTCCCCCGCTCCCCTGCACCCCTTCTCTTCCGCTGATAGCCCCCCCTCCCAGGTGCGCCCCGGCTCCCTCCAGGAGGTCCGCGAACTCGCCAAAACCAGCGGGATGGCGATCCTCGCCGGCGGCGGCGTGATCCGAAGTCTTCACAACTGGGACACGATGCTTCTTCCCCGCCGCGTGCGCAAGCATCAAACGTACTACGACCGCGGCCACTACTTCCTGATGCGCTTCGACTCGAACGCCGCTACGCAGAAGAGCTTGAGGGATGTGCTCGGTCTCGATCCGCGGATGGTGAAGTTCAGCGTGGTCAAGGTCGGCAGCAAGCTGGAGGAGATCGCCAGGAAGGGCGTCTAGGTGCTGGCGTGGGAGTGGGGATGTGTTGTACGATAGGATTGCATTATCTGCCATCACCCACTTTCAAAAAGT